TAAGGGAAAAAAAAAGGTTCTGAAGAACCTAGGGGCAGGACAGGAATAAAGTTGCAGACGTAGAGAATGGACTTGAGGACACGGGGAGGGGGAAGGGTAAGCTGAGACGAAGTGAGAGAGTGGCATTGACATATATACACCACCAAATGTAAAATAGATAGCTAGTGGGAAGCAGCCGCAAAGCACAGGGAGATCAGCCGCAAAGCACAGGGAGATCAGCTCGTACTTTGTGACCACCTAGAGGGGTGGGATAGGGAGGGTGGGAGGGAGACGCAAGAGGGAGGGGATATGGGGATGTATGTATACATAGAGCTGATTCACTTTGTTATACAGCAGAAACTAACACAACAATGTAAAGCAATTATACTCCAATAAAGATGTTAAAAAATAAATACTGACCTTTAGGTGATTATATGCATATTAAAGTTTTTAGAAGGAAGTGTACTTGATGTCTACAAATATTTTTTGAAATATACTGATATAAAAGGAATGATTGAACTATACGTAGATGGAAGGATAAATAATAAAGTAAGTATAGTAAAATATTAAAAAATATGGGCAGAAGATCTAAATAGACATTTATCCAAAGAAGACATACAGATGGCCAAAAAGCACATGAACAGATGCTCAGTATTGCAAAGTGTTAGAGAAATGCAAATCAAAACTACAATGAGATATCATCTCACACTGGTCAGAATGGCCATCATCAAAAAGTCTAGAAACAATAAATGCTGGAGAGGGTGTGGAGAAAAGGGAACCCTCTTGCACTGTTGGTGGGAATGTAAATTGATACAGCCACTGTGGAGAATGAACTTATGATTACCACCAGGGAAGGATGGGGGAAAGGGATAGTCAGGGAGTTTGGGATCGACATGTACACACTGCTTTATTTAAAATAGGTAACCAACAAGGACCCACTGTATAGCACAGGGAACTCTGCTCAGTGTTATGTGGCAGCCTGGATGGGAGGGGAGTTTGGGGGAGAATGGATACATGTATATGTATGGCTGAGTCCCTTTGCTGTGCACGTGAAACTATCACAACACTGTTAATTGGCTATTCTTCAATATAAAATAAAAAGTTAAAAAAAAAGTCTACAAACAGTAAATGCTGGAGAGGGTGTGGAGAAAAGGGAACCCTCCTACACAGTTGGTGGGAATGTAAATTGATAACAGCCACTATGAAGGACAGTGTGGAGGTTCCTTAAAAAATTAAAAATATAACTACCATGTGATCCAGCAGTCGCACGCCTGGACATGTATCCAGAGAAAACCATACTTCAAAAAGATACATGGACCCCAGTGTTCATTGCAGCACTGTTTACAATAGTCAGGACATGGAAGCAACCTAAATGCCCATTGACAGATGAATGGATAAAGAAGATGTGGTACATATATACAATAGAATATTACTCAGCCATGAAAAAGAATGAAATAATGCCATTTGCAGCAGCATGGATCAATCTAGAGATGATCATAGTAAGTGAAGTAAGTCAGACAAAGACAAATATCATATGATATCACTTATGAACTTGTTTACAAAACAGAAACAGACTCACAGACATAGAAAACAAATTTATGGTTACCAAAGGGGAAAGGTGTCGGGGAGGGATAAATTAGGAGTTTGGGATTAACATATACACTACTCTGTATAAAATAGATAGTCAACAAGGACCTACTGTATAGCACAGGGAACTCTACTCAATATTCCGTAATAACCTATATGGGAAAAGAGTCTGAAAAAGAATGGATATATGTATAACTGAACCACTTTGCTGTACACCTGAAACTAACACAGCATTGTAAATCGACTATACTCAATATAAAATAAAAATTTAAAAAAAAAGTATATGACTGTAATCATGAGGAAATGTAAAGACAAACCCACGTTGAAGAACACTCTGCAAAATAATGGGCCTGTAATTTTCAAATAACTCATAGTCATGGAAGTTAAGGAATCTAATGTCATGTAATAGGGGTCTAAATAGCCAGTTGGAAGTTCTGAGCTTCACTGTGGGGAGGAGCTTGTTAGGCCATTCATCAGTGGACCCCTGACATAACTATTTAGGTCTTTCTTCGTGAGGTGGTTGCTTTCTGCAGAGAAAGCTCTTCAGATCTCTTGCCTGCAGGGTAAAGTCCAGGGTACAGCACTCCATAGGTTGGGTGAAATAAAAGAACTGGATGTTGAGTGGCTGGGTGTGCTCATTGCTACTGGGGGTACCTGCTTGTAGACCAACTCAGGGAATAGAGCTGGAGAAGAAGTCTAAGCATCTTAGCATACAACAAGCAAGTCCCCTTGCTACTCTGGTGTCCTTGTATCAGTTGTGCTTGTTGTCCCCCAGGCCAGAGATGTTCTGTGAAAAATCTCACTCATGAATAAAATTCCAGTCTTTTGCCTGAATGAAGTGGGGGGTGGCAAATTTTCCAGTGAAGCAGATCTGGGGATCTAACTGCTTGATAACCTTTCCTTTTCACCAGTCCTGCTTGTGTTGACCCCTCCTCCTTCCACCTTGCCCCTTCCCCCTTTCCTTTGCCTTTGAGTATTCTTTGGTGTGGCTTGGTTGGTTCTGTTCCCTTTTAACAGACCTAAGTTACCTGTCATCTTAAACAACTTCCCATTTGCTCTTAACTCTTTCAGCCTTCCCTGATGATAGGCTGCTGTAATAAGGTACCACAGACTGGGTAGCTTAGCCAGAGGGAAAATTATGCTCTCACAGGTCTGTAATCTAAGAAGTCCAGGCTCAAGGTGTCAGTAGGGTTGGTTTCTTCGGAGGCCTCTTTCTTTGGCCTGCAGATGGCTGGCTGCCTTCTCCCTGTGTCTTTGTATGGACTTCCATGTGTGTCTGTGTCCTAATCTCTTATAAGGGCCACCAGTCATATTGGATTAGGACCTACCCTAATGACCTTATAGACCCTGTTTCCAAATGCAGTCACGTGTAAGGTGCTAGAGCTAGGACTCAACATATGAATTTTGGGACACAGTTCTGCCCATAACACCCAACCACTGTCTTTGGCAGCATTGGCACTAAGCTTCTAGTGCTGCCTGTACTTGAGTTGCCACACTCGGTGCCCTGCTTCCGTGGGCCTGACTTCTGGGTGATGGAATCAGATGGCGCTGAGTGGGATCAGGCATGGAGTGTGAATGTTGGAATCATATTAGTTTTGAGTGAGTTGTGAAACATTATTTTTATAGTCGTTAGTTTAGCTTTTAATATTCTCTGTCCTAAAGCACTTTATAATATTCAGCCCTGACTGACTTTAGAGGTCTCATATCCTCTGAACATGATCCTGAAATTGAAATGATAAAGATGTGAAGGAGCACGCCACCCTCCTCAGACTACCCTCAAGCCCTGTCTCACCTCTCCCACCCCTGACCCCATACATCCCCTTCCAAGTCAACTGAAATTACTTCTAAAATTTGCTTGCACCTTTCTGCTTTCTCCTCTTGATTTTTTATAGTTAGGCAATTAAAAGAATTATTTTATGTCAGTAGTGTTTCTCTTGTATCTGAAATTGGTAATTATAATCAGCAACATCTTGAGACTTGGATGATATTAGGTGAAAACTTTGTAAATTTGAAAAGCCATGTAAAATGTAAGGTTGAGATTTTACTTGTCCTGTCCATTTAAAGATGGACTGCCGACTTACATATTATGGTGACCATGTCATTGTAACTTCATCACAAGGAAAAGACTTGTGTTATTCCTCCTTAATGAAATATCTGTGAAGGTGGCTCAGAATTGTGAAGAATCTTTGTGCTTCAGAATTAGAAGGGACCTTAGAGATGAATTTGAATATCTCTTTTTACCAATAAAAAGAAGCTGAAGTCTAAGACTGAAGCTGAAGTCCAGGACTGAACATTAGTGTGATTGAGTGGGAGTCTCACCTGGAATTCGTCTGGTTCAGCCGACAGTCCATTTGCTAATGTTACTTCATATCCCATACTTTATCACAGTGGCTGTGATAAAAAAGAATATATATTTTTCAGTTAATAATACAGAAGAAAAAGTAGTGCTGAGTATTTCAGGTAAAATTTTTTTGACCTGCAAAAATTGTCGTGGAGATAGGTTGGTGAAGAATTGTAACCCTTGGCATGGGAAGGGCAGTGGGGCACCTAGCTTTAAGAATAACTAATATAATAATCGAGTGAATTTTATTTCGCTGGGCAAGTCAGGGGAATGGTGGTGCTTTGACTGGGCCTGAATGTTGGGTTTTGGGGTTCCCCACAATTTTCAGAGTATGGAGTGCTTTATTGGAGTGGAGCCCTGTAGTATCTTTTACTCTTGGTTAGAGCATCCTTTTTAACAGGTATTTCTCTTCTGTGAGAGTCTGTGGTTTGAACAGCACTTAACTTCCAAACCTTAGCACAAGTGTGCTCTGTGGACCAGCATCAGCATCCTCTGGGAACTTCTTAGGAATGCAGAGTCTCAGGCCCCACCCCAGACCTGCTTGATCTGTGTTTTAACAAGACTCCCAGGCAGTTCATATATACAGTAAAGCATGGGAAACACTGGTCTAGAGCAGTGGTTCACAAAATGTGGTCCCTGGACCAGCAGCATCAACATCGCCGGCAAAGTTGCTAGAAAACGCACATTCTCAGGCCCCAAATCCCAGACCCCCTGAACCAGAAACTCTGGGTGAAACCCCAATATGTGCTTTAACAAGCCCTGTAGGTAATGCTAATTCATGCTTAAGTTTGAGAACCACTCTGGAGCACTGTGTTTCCACAGTTTTGATCTGGACTCATGGTGAAAAATATATTTTACATCATGACCCAAAACACACACACACACACACACACACATACACACACTCTCTCTCTCTCTCTCTCTCTCTCTCTCTCTAGAAGTTTCATAAAACAATGGTTATCTTACCAAGTTCTGTATCTACTTTGGTATTTTCCGTTTTATTCTGTTAAATGTATATGTGTGTGTGTAAACTTATTTATAAAGAAAATCTGGCCATAACCCACACAGCTGATTACAAAGCCACTAATAGACCATGCACTGCAGTTTAAGGACTGATGCTCTTGAACAGGGTCTCTTAACCTTCTTCTGTGCTGTGGCCCCTTTTGACAGTCTGGTAAAGCTCTGGATCTCTTGTCAGAATAATGCTTTTTAAGTGTATACAGTAATATACATGGAGCTGTAAAAGAAACCAATTATATAGGGTACCAAAATATTAAACAAATGTGTGCTATGGTGATATATTGTATTTTCTTATTCACAGTGAGATTTAGTGGTGGGTCTTGTAACTACTATCATTTCAAAGTAGGGATGGGTATAAATGATAGTTCAAGTTATTTGCGATAATTGTTATATGAAGTGAAAATGGCTGTGATTTCAATTGGTGACAAAGTTATGGTTACTGATAATAATATTGTGGTTTGTTGAGTACATGCATATTTGAAAAAAAAAGCTACATTTCGGTTTAAGTTAAGTGAAAATAAAGGTGTAATTTTTTTCCATGTCTAGCTTCAGACTTTCAAAATTCTGAGGTTAAGCACTCTTGCTCAAGAGGAACCTTTCTTTGGAGAATAGTTCCCAGGCTTTAAGACTGTGTGTCAAAAAATTACCTTCCTGGAATTTCTTAAAACTGCTGCTTCATCGATGGCATTTCTTCTTATTTTCTAGCACCATGGTAATGGAGTTCTGTTTTGTTTTTTTCCTCACCAACACGGTAGGAGGTTTCCCTTTTCTCCACATCCTCACCACCATTTATTTTTTGTGTTCTTTTTGATGTTAGCCATTCTGACAGGGGTGAGGTGATACCTCATTGTGGTTTTGATTTGCATGTCCCTGATGCAGAAATCAGCATTTTGAAATTTAATTTAATTTTTATTTTACTTTGGAGTATAGTTGATTTATAATGTTAGTTTCAGATGTACAGCAAAGTGATTCAGTTATACATATACATGTAACCATTCTTTTTCTTTTTTTGTTTTTGGCCACGCTGTGCAGCTTGTAGGATCTTAGTTCCCTGACCAGGGATTGAACCCCAGCCCTCAGCTGTGAGAGTGCAGAGTCCTAATGACCGCCGGGGAATTCCCCATATATCCATTCTTTTTCAGACTCTTTTCCCAAGTAATGGAGTTTTTCTTTAAAATCTTCTTCTCTGTTGTTTTCCTGAGGTTACCTCAGGCCCAAATGCAATCTATTGACAATGTTTCTTCTCTAGTCTCCCCCATCTCAACACACCACCCAGCTGCTCAAACCAGATTCCTGGGATCATTTTCTGGGCCATGGGTTCTGGATTCAGGATCTGAATCTGGGGTCCACGGTTTACTAGCTGTGTCACCTTGGACAAGCGACAAGCCTCCCTTTCTCTGCCTGTGAGACTGGGATGGCAGCAGTGCCCCCACCTCATAGGACTGTTCTGAGTATTACATGAGACATCCCAGGTATTGCACTGGAACAGCCTGGCCTGGAGTTAAGTGGTTAGTAAATGTTATCCGTTACAGTTATGCTTGATTTCTTCCTTTCCCTTATTCCTTAAACCCAGTTTATCAGAAAATTTATATAGAGTCTCCCTACAGGTATATTTCACATTTATCTACTTCTGTCTGTTTCCATTGCCGTCATCCTACTCGAAACTTTCATGCATTCTCATTGGCACTTCTGACTGGTGTCTCTCCTTCCTCTTGACTGACTCCAATCAGTTTCCCCTATAACAACCGTATGATTTTTTTTAAAGTGTAAGTGAATGATCTAATAAAAACATTAGTGACCACTGTACATTTAGAACGGTCCAGTGGCTTCCCGTCAAGGCTTTCCCTGACCTGCAGCCTGTGTTTTTGGCCCCTGCCTCCTTTCAAGTGTTTGTTCGTGCTGTGCTGTTTCTCTGGTCTGCCTCTAAACTTGCCCGTGTACCCACTGTTCTGTGGCCACGTTGGCTTTCCCTCAGTTATTTGGGTAGCCTGGTCCTTTCATACTTTGAGGCCGTTGTGTGTGACCCTCCCTCTGCTCAGCTGCATGTTTCTGCCCTTCCTCAGCTCCCGTCCTTCTCATCTCTGCAGGTATTGGTTCCTTAGAGAGCCTTTCCTAACCACCCCTACCTAAATTAGGGCACCAAGTTCCTCCTTTATCAGCCTGAGGCTCCCTAAACACATCAGCAAGTGAATATTGCCTCTCCATCAGGGAAAAGGATAATTAACAGCCTGTGATTATGAAACATCCAACTCCAAGAAGAGTGGAATAATTTTACACATTGTGAACATTAAGTGATTGTAGAGGTATTTTAAGAAATTGCTACCTTGAAATTGTTCAAGAAGGTCTTTGATATTGTTATTCAAGAACAAAGAGAGGCCGGCCCACTGAACCTGTCTGCAGAGGGTGATGGAGGTACTCATAACCCAGCCATGTGCCTCCTCACTGCTGTCAATCATTTCTGCTCCAAAGGGTAAAGCAGATGTCATAAAATTTCCCTCCTTGAAGTAGCTGCCTGGTTGCTGATAGAACCCTTCACGCTCCTCTCTCCTAAAGTGAATGGTCAGTTGCTGCTCAGACATGAGAAAGATGTCTCATGATTAGACGGTAGAAACCAGTGTGGTAATATCTGGATCCTGGTTTTAATTTTTGAGTTCGGAGTGAAGAGGCAGCATAATGACTCCCTGATTGGACTCGGTCAAATTTCTTTGTGTTTTGAAATTTCTGCCTTGTTACTTATTTTTAATTAATCCTAGGCCAGAGAAAGGAGGCACTCCTGATTTTTGGCAGTTGCCTAAAGCAGCCAGGAAAAGGGTGATAGGAATTGAGAATCATGTTGTGAACCACTTCAGTGACCTTTGTAGTTTTTCTTTCAAATAAGGACACTGGGACAGATGCTTGAATTTAGGATAATAAGTATAAATGCCTGGTACTCCTGTTTGGCTAAATGGTGTTCCTGATTAAATAAAAATGTGGTCTCTTTTGGGGAAAGACTACTTTTTGTTGACATACTTTAGCAGAACCCACGCACAGAAGTATTCCTGGTATGGACTGTGGGTAATGATAATCATTTGGAAAATGATGTGTCTAAAAATAAAATACAGTTTTCTTATTGCAAAAAAGTAACATATACTTAATTTTTAGAAATTCTACCATAATTCTGCCCTCCAATCAAGCCAAACTTTTCATATTTTTCTTGTTCCCCTATAGATGTTTATATGTTTATCTTTCTATATAGTTGTAATCTTGCTGTGATCATCTTGTATTCTGATTTATGTTATGTTATGATTTTTATGTTTCAGTTTTAATGGCTGTATAGCATTCTATCAAGTAGAAATGTCATAACCATTCTCTTGTTGGTTGATTTGCTTTATGATGTATTTTTTATGATATACTTTTAATGATGTCTTTGTTTTGCTCTAATTTTGCAGGCAGAGACATTTGTTTGGGTTAACAGTGCATCAGCACATTCCCAGAGTGTTGCCAAGGCCAAATATGAATTTTTATTTGGCAGATCTGAAGAGAAAACTCCAGATACTAGTAAGTGTTTCCCTACCTTCCTCTTTCAGGTAACAGATAGGAAGTGCTATTGAAATTTCAAATCTCAGAAGCTGAGAATTCTTCAAATCAAGAAGTGACTTGAAATTACCTAAAACAGGCTACTAGAATCACATCCTGTATTTCTGAGTTCTACACCTTAGGAAGATGTAGAATTATTAGTGAATAATTAAAGCAAATAGGTTTCACAGAGGTAGGAAGGCAGCAGTGCGGATGGAGAAAAGGTACTCAAATCAGCAGGAGATAAAGGCCATAGGAGTCCTGGGAGTCAGGCAGAGAAGGGTACTGAATGTGGTTAAGAGCGTTGGCTCTTTAGCTAGGCTTCTTGAGCATCAATTCTGGCCTTGTAACTTATGAGATGCGTGACCTTGAGTAAGTTGTCCAAGCTATTTTTGCCTCAGTTTTCTCATCTGTAAAATGAGATTATAGTGATATATGTCTCAGAAATCTTTTGAGGATTAGGTAGATTGACGTATGTAAGGATCTCAAAACCATACTTGGCATGTAATAAATGCTATGGAAGTGTTTGCTGCCATTATTATTTATTATGATCATTGTCATCATCATATTCCTGACCTTTGAAGCTGACATTTAGAAAAAATACAATCCTGACTCTCCTCAACTCCATCACTGTCTGACACTGATTTCTGTTTTGGGTAGACAAAGAATCTGACCTAATGTATTGGTAGCTGTTGTTCAGTTGAAGAAGTCAAACGCTAACTATTCATTTTGATTTATGTGTTAGATGGGATTATATAATGGGCTCCCTAATACCTGGGGCTAGCAAGAATGCAGTGTATATCAATAATTCCTTTTACCTTAATAATGAATATTTATTAGATATTTCAGTAGTTGGGGACTCTTAATGAAGTATAAAACAGCTAAATTATTAAAAAAAAATCATTCTGCTTTTATTATGTAGCATAATTACCTAACATTCTAGGCTAGAGGTTTGGGGCACTTAATCATTTATTCACTTTGTCTCAGGCAGTACTGACTGTCATCACCCCAAGACTGTGTAAAACTCCTCCTTGGCATAGCCTTAACTTTGTGATTTTGTGCTAATTAAGCTGTTTTTACCTTTGATAAAACAAGAGTTTTACTTCACTATATAGAGATACTGTCAGATGTCTACATAGTCCTTTGACTTATTGGTGGGTGAGTTTGGGTCTACCTTACTCATAGGTTTTGTAGTTTTCCAAGTGTACCTGAGAAGAATCAGAATGACATTTTAAACCTCCTGTTCCTTATTTGCCTTGGTAAAAATGGTTGGTGTTATTTATTTCTAGTGTGATGTTACTCTGCAGGTGTGTAAGTGTGCATGCATTTATTAAACAAATCTATTTAATGAACACTTATTATGTGCTAGTCACCTGTGCTGGGCACTGTTACGGTACAAAGAAGTAGAAGACAGTCCTTGCCACCTGGGGGCTAATTCTTTGGTCAGAGAGAGGGAATGATCATTTTCAGCTGTGCTGGTGATGGCTTCATGGAGGAGGTGAAAGTTGCACTGTTCTTAAAGAATGACTAGTATTCTGATTAATTGAGTTTTGGGGAGGGCATTTCAGACTGAGGGAAGGGTATGACCAAGGGTGTGGTGGCAGAAAATACAAATTTCTTGGAGAACATGGAGGAAACGTCCCAGGTTGGTTTGCAAACCATATCTGTGAGAGATAGGTTTAGAAAGATAACCATTTAGAAAGGGGCAGAATCATGAAGGGTGAAGAGTGTGCATTTTAATATAGGTATGCGGAGATGAAGTGCCAGGTACTGTTTTTTTTTAATCTAGTTTTTATTTTTATTTTTTTTATTGGGGTATAGTTGCTTTACAATGTTGTGTTAGTTTCTGCTGTAAAACAAAGTGAATCAGCTATATGTATATATATATCCCCTCCCTCTTGGACCTCCCTCCACACCCCCCAATCCCACCCATCTAGGTCACCACAGAGCACTGAGTGGAGCTCCCTGCGCCATACAGCAGGTTCCCACTAGCTATCTGTTTTACACGTGCTAGTGTATACATGTCAATCCTAATCTCCCAATTCATCCCACCCCCACTTCCCTCCCCCACTGCCCCCCGCTCCTGCCCCCCGGCCTGTGTCCACACATTTGTTCGCTACATCTGTGTCTCTATTCCTGCTCTGCAGATAGGTTCATCTGTATCATTTTTCTAGATTCCACATATATGTGTTAATATACAATAATTGTTTTTCTCTTTATGACTTACTTCACTCTGTATGACAGTCTCTGGGTCCATCCACGTCTCTGCAAATGACTCAGTTTCATTCCTTTTTATGACTGAGTAATATTCCATTATATATATGTACCACATCTTCTTTATCCATTCCTCTATTGATGGACATTTAGGTTGCTTCCATGTCCTGGCTATCGTAAATAGTGCTGCAATGAACATTGGGGTGCATGTGTATTTTTGAATTATGGTTCTCTTAGGGTATATGCCCAATAGTGGGATTGCTGGGTCATATGGTAATTCTATTTTTAGATTTTTAAGGAACCTCCATACTGTTCTCCATAGTGGCTGTATCAATTTACATTCCCACCAACAGTGCAAGAGGGTTCCCTTTCTGCACACCCCCTCCAGCATTTATTCTTTGTAGATTTTTTTTTTTTTTTTTTGCGGTATGCAGGCCTCTCACTGCTGTGGCCTCTCCCATTGCGGAGCACAGGATCCGGACGTGCAGGCT